ACACTTGGATTTGTATATAATGTGTTGCATTATTTTTACAGAAATAATTATATTTTGTAAATCAATTTTCGATTTTAATTTTCTAGCTTATGAAACACTTGAAATTTATTCTTATTTTGAATACCGAATAACTTTACCGAAATTGCGAATATTTTACAAAAATAAATCAACTAGAAAAATCGTACCTACCATTTTAATTTTTTTTTCTTAAAATAATTTTAATTAATTTCGTGTATTTACATTGTGTTAATGTAACGTCTCTTTAAATTTTGTTCGTTCAGATTTAGATGAATTCAAAAAATCAAAAATAAATGTTACACTTTGTCATTTATTAATAATTATAATAATATTTAGCTTTTAATTTTGTCAAATGTAATGTTTTAATCTAGTAGTTTCCGTTTAATATTCCAGAGAGCACATTTGTATGAAGAATGAAATTCGAAAAAAAACAAACTTTCTTACTTTTCAATAGTCATTTGAATTCAATTCGAGCAATCAAACCATATTCTATTCAAAAGGTTCGGAATATTTTATTTCGTTTATAATAATAGTGGCATGTGTGCAAAAAATTTGTTATGCCTTTGTGCAGGCTGGCACGTTGTGCATGTCTTCCTTCAGATGTCATAGAAGACACTATGACCCGCCAAAGACATGTGTATGAGACGGCATTTGATTGTCGTATCAGTAAGTCTGACGATGATCTCGATGAAATGGATAAATTATCAAACCATCCTTGCTTACTACCAAGCAGTGCAGTAATGAAACCGAATTGCAATAGATCGACTTTTGCCCGGAAAGCCTCTCAGGAAAACGTTAACGAAATCGAAGATGACAATAAATCGATGTCCATTTTGTCACAAAAGTTGCAAGACGTTCATGTAAAACCATCCGCAGAATCTTCCATTTCTTTGTCTTTATACAAATCTTCACCTCCGTCCACTGTTCCACTCCGGGCGAAATTCCATGGTAAAGAAATGGTGACAAACAACGTTCAGAGTGCTCCAAATCTTTCAATTTCCCGAAAGAATAAAGCAAAGTTGTTTCATCTTCCTATCCAGTCCCTCCGAGTAAAGAATTCAACGACAGCTTTAGGAAGTTTAAATAGTGATAACAATGACTTTCAAGTCGAAATTCATCAAGAAGATACACCGTCTCAGTACAGCGATGATAAGAAAATGACAAGCAGAGTTATGGAAATTAAAGATAGGCCATTACATAAACCACTTTTCTTTCAAAGACACAATCGAAGCAAAAATCAGCCACGGAATGTGTTGGAGTTAAAAGGAAGAAGAAGACATCAAAAGTTCTCAAGTACAGAAAGTATGACCACCAGTAGTAGCGGTGGAAGTATGGAAAGTCTTCGAAGTAGTACTAGCGAAGGAAATCGTAGCACTACAAGCAGTGAGAGCCGTCATTCTTCTTCATTAAGTTCTCATGAATCTGAATCTGGTGATGCTACTAATTACGGCGTTTCGTTGACGTTAAAATTTATGTCGCACGCAAATAAAATGCATATCTTAAGTCCCATTTCGGACAAATCTTCCCAGGAACCGGCCTCCGAAACTTCAGATAACAATCGAAATAATTTTTCTCAAAAATGCTCTCCCGATGAAGTAACCACACCTGAAAACATGAAAGCAAAACGTAGGCTACCTCAGAATAAAAACTTGCTTAATTTGGGCCTTCGTTTCGGAGATCCTGAAATCCAAGGATCCGATAGCGGCATTTCGATTCAGTCGAGGGAAGGAAGGAGGAAAAATATGTCCCCAAGTGTACCTGCCTCCGATAGCCCTACCTCCAACTATTTAAAAGAACTGCCGTTCGATATGCCAAAGTTAAGAAGAAGACTGCGTGTACAGCAAAGTTATGTTGAACCTAGTTTGTCCCAGGCATCCTCTAGTCAAAGTATTACTCTACCCGATTTTAAAGGTTTCTACAAATTTCCCATGCTGACTTCACTTTTAAATGTCTCGTTTTTTAGGCCCAGAATTCAAACCAAAATTAGCATTAAACTTGAGCGACCCTGACAAAATAAAAAGTTCAAATTTAGGATTACCTCTTAAACCTTCACATTTTACCTCAACCGACAGTCTTTTTGATGTCAATTTGCCGTTGGAGAAACAAGGGTATATTATAAATTTTCTGTTATTTTTAGTACCTACACTATTTCATTTACAGTTGGTTCCACGGAGCTATTAGTCGAGTGGAGGCTGAACAGGTACTACAGGACCTCAAAGAAGGGAGCTTTCTAGTTAGGCATAGTGGTTCGTCGCGAGAAAGTTATTCATTGTCGTTAAAGTAAGCACTATAAGAAATTTTATAAGTAATATAAGCGAATTTCAGAGTTACATTGCTATTTTTAACTGACTGGAACTCAATTTGTTTATGATCTAATTACGAACTTACGAAGATAACCCAAGATAATTAAAATTGAATAAACTAATCAATAAGTAAATAAATGTATGACTTCTACATACATATTAATGTAGAATACTTTTTCGGATTTGTGATAAGTTTTTTTACTGGATAAATAATAATTTTTTTTTTTTTTGTTTTCTAAATGGTCTGCTTTTTTTTTTTGAAATGAAACTTCTTTACGCACGGTAGGGTAAATTCGTTTCATGCGAGTTGCTATGTAACGAAATCATGCAACGGATGTCACCCCTCTACTCGGCCACGTAGTTGAGTTCGTAGTGGGGATCGCTTGAGCCGTGAGCGCGCTTCAATGCAACGTTCGTTACAGGCAACTCCGGCATGTATATAGTGTAGCCCTAACAAATGTATGAATGTATTTGTATATGTTTGTGTATGTGTGCTTAAACTCTACAGTATGTTTGTGTGTTTTTGAAGAAGTTTCACTTCAGAAGCGTGTTGTATAATTACACGTTGTATTTTTTTTTGTTAATAGATTCTATTTTAAAATGCTTTCAGAAGTACAAGAGGTTTCCTACACGTAAAAATTCGGAAAAGTGGAAACGATGACGTATTTACACTTGGGAACACAAGCAACCCCTTTAAATCAATACCAGAAGCAATTCAGCATTTCACAGCGAACCGTCTACCGATTCCGGGAGCTGGACATATGCACCTGATGCAACCAGTTATCTTGCAACTGTTATGATCCAAACTAATAAGCTTTAATTTACTGTCGTTTGATTATTTGAAAGGCCAAAACTATACTTTTTATATGTAATCGGCCGATGCGAAGTTTCTTTAATTTTTATTTTTGAAATTAAAAATTTTAACATTAATTAGCGAAAGTACACTTTTCCTACAGGAACTTAAAATTTTCTTTTAATGAAAAATTACAAGGTACTTATCTATATATTCTATATCATTGCATTGAAACAATTAATCAATCGTGTAACAGTATTCCTGTATGCTTCCATCCAAACTGCAATGATAAAATATACAGGGTGGATCACGTTGATATGATAAATCTTTGTATTTACGTAAATTATAATGTTCCTAATCAACCGCTGCCGTCCGTTCGGTGGATTAAATTGTAAAAAAGGCTTTAATATGTATATATTCTGCTCAGTATATTTTTAATTTTATTTTATTCAATTATGTTTTTCTATTAAAGTCTCATCAATGATTTATGAAATTGCCTGTCTATTTAGGTATCATTCATAAAATACGTACATAAAGAAGGGGCGGAAGAACAGTTGCTTAACGTGATGATAAATAACGATGAGGGTGAAGGGGAATCGAACAAACATGACGTGAAAAGGCGTTTAATTTTATTCTAATGATTGAAGCGTGTCATATGCAAAATATTTTTTTTTGGGAGTACTTTTATACGAGAAAACGGATTTAATAGGTGCCATACTTCGCCAGCTAATTTTTTATAAGGACTAACTAAAGTTAATTAAATTGAGTGTTTTTAATTCAGCTAGTACGCTGGTTACTAAGATCAACTTTATTTGTAGAGAGGGATGATGTTAATGAACACGCTTTGTGAGATAACAGACATTCAAAATAACAAACGATTATTTTTTTATTGCTTTGCTAATTTTACTAAATTTAGTCAGCCACTCAACAATAAATCTACTATTAATTATTATCTTAACATTATAGCTATCTAACATGTAATGTAATCTTTTGAAAGAGGTAGGGAGTTGAAAACAATGTATAATGCAGTGTGACAAACTGGGATATACAGGACAAAAATGCATAAATTAACGTGAATGTGGATGACACTGATGGCACTTTAATGTAAGCTCTGAATAGATGCCAGCATTCGTTTAATACCATTACTTTCGTCAATTTTTTCGTTATTTTACTATTACAAAAGGATCTCCGTGTATAATTAATTCATCTTTCTGGTAAAATCAGCATTAATTTAAAATCAAATATAAGAATTTGAACGAAGAAGGAGTTATGAAACAAGTAAACCGATTAACGATCCACCCTGTAGATATATAAAAACAACAAAATAATTAATATTTATACAGAACTTTTTTGTAAAGTCAGTCACAAAGTTTCAGTTTCAGCATGAAATTAGGATGTCAGCTTTTAATCGTTATTGTTATAAATTAGGCACTCATTCTCCACAGTTTTTTTTAACATTATTTATGAAGTTATATTTAAAAATTGACAATGCAAATTTTCCTCATAAAAATGTACATACGTATGTAAAAACATAAAATTGCTTTTTCGGTTTTCCAGTATGGTCTTCCAGCACTCTTTAAAAATAATAATAATAGAAAGAGGTAATAGTATTTTTACAATGTTCAGTGAAACATGATAACAGCAATAGGAATGTAATAATTTAGCAAGTTAAAGAAAAACAAATAATCAGGTACTTCATTTAAACAAACTGCACACTTTTTAATAAAAGCCATAAATGCACTTTTTACAATGCACCCTTTTTATGTATAATATTTTGTAAAAAGTATATACATCAAATCTAAATGGGTATACCTAACGATTAAAAAATATTTGCAACATATACGTTCCCACAAAAGAACGATTTTATTTAATCAAGCCTTTTGACCTAATACAGGATTAATATTCTAGATTTATCAGTTTCCATTCTTCAAATAAAAATGAAACTATACAGTAATATATTAATANTCTCTTTCAGTTTTTACAGCTTTAATATCAGTTTTATCAGCTGTTGGAATTTGTGAAAGATGTAGAGTAGAAAGTGGTGGTGTATATTTCTTAATTGCCCATGTTTTGGGTTCAAGATTTGGTGGATCACTTGGTCTTTTGTATTGCTTTGGTCAAGTAAGTTTTGTACACAATTATTAATAAACAAACAAATATTCATAATTTATAGGCAGTTGGTTGTGCACTAAATGTTCTTGGATTTGGGGAATCAATGGCAGGTTTAATAGGATTAGAAAATTCTACTTGGGCTACCAGGGGTATTGCAAGTGCAGCTGTTTTATTCCTAGGCATTATTAATATTGCTGGTGTCAAGTGGGTTATTAAGTTGCAGTTTGTTTTGTTGCTTATTCTTCTTTTGGCTGGCTTAGACTTCATGGTTGGAAGCTTTGTTCATACTGATCCAGGTTAATAAATAAAAACAATTGATTTTTGTTTCACAAATATATTAGTCGTTTGACCATTTTCAGTGACTTACACTACATAAATGTTTTTATTTATTTATTCGACTTTTTAAATATGTCTCACCTAGTAACCACTAAAATTTTAATCGCCACTATTAACACATTTTAATTTTTAAAAAAGCAGCACACGGCTGTGAATTAAGCCCGATACCGGTGTACTAGACGAGCATCCATATCATTAAACTACCACGCTATTTGCAGTTCTTGTTCTGATAAAAAATTTCTATGGAAAAAGATCGTAATTATATTTTAATAAGTCGTGACATCGAAAGCATGGAATGTACCATTTACTTACATTTTAATTTCGGGAACATTTTCATGGTACATGCATATGCAACCAATTATACGCCCGTGTTATGATTAGAAACTGTTTATTTCTAACTCGAATATATTAAAATCGCTAATCTTTAATCAAAGATTCTGATTAAAAGAAAACAGCCTGGATTACGAAAATGAGCTTATGATGCAATTCGATCTTTTAATTAAACGTTGTAATAGTCACTTAGTTCCATTTTTCTACAATTTTTAACTGAAAAGTATATTTTTATGCCGTTTTGTCCACAGCTAACTAAGACATTGACAAACATACATATGCTAAAACATTATTATGTATGATTTTATAATTATTTTAATGAAATAATAAAAAATTTATGGTTCCAAGTTAAAAAAAAAAAAACAAGCGACTAGTAAACTTGAATACATCTCTTTTTGTCTAATGATCTATAATGGATCTAAAGCCCTTGACATTTGACAAATGCAGCTGTGTATATACATGAAGATAGCAGTTGTGTTTGTTTGTGGCTAATTTCGTGTCGTCCGTTGAATCTTTTTAAACTTGGTGTAGATGGTGTCATTTGCATTAAGTTGATTATTAAATAATAAATCTGTGAATATTTATATAAGTATAGTACATCGCGTTGTCAACTATAAAAAGGTTGTTAAAACATTACTGTTTGGAGTTTTTTATATTGTTATTTAATTTTCTATTTCATTTACCTTACTGTTATCTGTCTCTGAATATTTATAGGTTATAATATTTAACTAATTTCGAAATGGGACGATACGCTAGAGAACCCGAAGTAGCTGCAAAATCTTGCAAAGCCAGAGGATCCAATTTAAGAGTACATTTCAAAGTAAGTACAGTGTATACAATATTATAAGTAGTTTGTTGAAGCTAAAAAATTTTAACTAAATGGGCACTTGACTTGCTCCTGATAATCCCCCAACAAAGCAAAATATGCACCTTACGTTACTAATTCAACAGAAAAATTAAAATGATTGTTTTGTCATTGTTTATTTAACTTTAGTGTTTTATGTGTTGGTGTGTCATTTAGAATTTAGTCTGTAGACAATGTAGTTGTTCAATTTGCTTATTATTTTTTAATTGTTGTTTTAATAATATGTTTCTTTTTTTATTTACAAAATTAACGACCTTTCTTTTGATTGTTAGAATACATGTGAAACTGCAAATGCTATCAAGAAAATGCCTCTGAAACGAGCAGTGGCATATTTAAAGAATGTCATTAACCACAAAGAATGTGTTCCATTCAGAAGATTCAATGGTGGTGTTGGTAGATGTGCACAAGCTAAACAATTTGGTACCACTCAAGGGCGATGGCCAAAAAAATCAGCAGAATTTTTACTACAAATGTTAAGAAATGCTGAAAGTAATGCAGACTATAGTGGTTTGGATGTTGATAGACTAATTATAGAACATATTCAAGTAAGTACTGCTGTATAAACTGATAACACTTCTAAATTATCCTTAATTTTAATTAAAATTGTAATTTCATAAGAATATAGAGTTTTTGACTAAATAAAGCAGCATATCTATTAATACTAAAGAGTCAAACAAAATTACATAATTGGATACAATAAACGGATAAAAACTAATGGTAGACATAAAAACAAACTTAATGTATATTGAATAGTACTTACACCATCTAATATAATAATTGTAATAGATAAAACACAATATCCACTGAAAAGGGAAGCCTTCTATACATTCACATTTTAAAATATTGTTTTGAAAAGGTAGTTTAATTATTGTTTCTTACCTGAATTTATAATTTTACCTGTAACACTTCTGTGTTTATTAAGGTAAATCGAGCTGGATGTTTAAGACGTCGTACTTATCGTGCTCATGGCAGAATAAACCCTTACATGTCATCTCCATGTCACATTGAAATGTGGCTAACAGAAGCCGAAAGTACACCAGAAAGCGGGAGTAAAACGAAGAAAGGGAAGAAAACTGCAGAAAGTTCGACGAAACGTTCAAAAGGAGCAATTGCTGCTCATTAAATGTAACTGTTCATTTATATTAATAATAAAATGAATAATGTTTAAAAACACTGATTTTATAAACTAGAATCCTGTGACCTAAATTTTTAAAANAAAATTATAACAATTGGATTTGATTATATTACTTTTTCACAGAAATAAAACTAAATGGACAAAAAAGCAGGGATATTATTTCAGTGCTTATTTGATTTAAATTCTGTAACAGCACGAAACGGTTTCCTGGGCAATAGTGGAGAAGATTGTGTTCGGGGACTAAGTGATGCAGATTTACTTTTTCTCAATTTACCGCTATGTGCAGCTTCTACATTCCGTTCATGAGCGTATAAAAGTACACCGATGTGCCTATGACCTGCTTCCATAGCAATTTTTAAAGCTGTGCTTCCATCCTAAACAATAAATGGCTGCAGTCAAATATTATAGCAAAAGATAAACATATTTTAACTAATTGGTTTTAATATTTCGAGATTTATTTTATTTAAATAAGTCTTAAACTTACAACATCGGTTATGCTGGAATCGCAATCTGAATGGCTCAAAAACAATTTCACAATATCCACGTGTCCATGTTCAGCAGCACACATTAGCGCTGTACTACCATCTTCGTCTTGAATATTTATATCAGCACCAGCGTCTAAAAGCATATTTACCATATCTAAACGACCATGACTTACTGCCAGCATTAAAGCCGTCTGACCATGCTAAAAAGTATTAATGACACAAATTAAGTATTTTCCTTCATTTTAAACGATTTTAAGTTTACAAAAAATCTCGTTAGCTAAGTAGTTCTAATATTTTAACAAAATCTTCATGTTTACTTGTTGTGCTTTGATGTTAACGTCAGCGAGTTGAAACAGTCGTCTTACAACTTCCATATGAGTGGAACTTTGAAGCTCTGCTAAAGAAACTAACATAACGCTAGTATAGCCAGCTTTATTTGGTTTATTTATGTCACATACTTTTGAATCCAATAAAATCGAAACAATGTCAAAATTACCATGGGAAACGGAATAATGCATCGCCGTATTACCCTGAAGAATTAATGAATACAGTCACTAATAATTGTACAACAACAACAAAAAATAATGTGATCACCTTACTTTTTATATCATATTTTATAAACATTCACAATCATGACTGAACTACTACTTACACTAGCGTCTGACATATTAACGATGTAATGAAGAAGTTCAGAGGATATTTCTTCAAAATAATCTAAATATCCTTCAACTTCCATAGGATTTGCTCCATCTAAACTTGAAACATTAAACCATTCCTGTTCTATTATGTTTATGGCATTCTTTAATTGATTTTTCGAATTCTTTGTAAGTCCTTTTTGTAATGAATCATTAAGTACTTTCAAAGCAGCTTGCATTTCTTTAGAAGGTGTTGCTCTTCTAAACAAGACAATAATTGGTTAATGAAAAGTAAAAATATAATGCATGAAGATAAAGAGAATATATTTTTTAGTACTAGAAAAACTACTTACTTAGGACCTTTAATTGGTTCTGAAATTTTGGTGTAAGTATCTTGCCGTCTGAATTTTCTAACATCAGTTTGAAGCCTGGGAATTCTAGACAGAGCTCCAACATCTTCTTTCTTAATTTCTTCTTTTTCCTTTTCTTTTTCATTCATTCTTAAGTATTCTTTCTTTCCAGGAATTTCAACATCGCCTGTATTACAAGCAGCGTCTTTTGTCTGTAACTCGTTTATTATTGTATTAGACGCCGCTTCTTTTGTTTTAACTTCCTTGTTTGGCGTGTTACATGCAACGCTCTTTTTTTTTACTTCCATTGGTATTTCAGTATTACACCCTATATGTATTGAAAAAATTCCTGCTTCATCATTTTTATATTGGACAAATTTTTCTGTAGTATTTATTTGGTGCTGGCAAGCTTTTGATGATGTTTGCACTAAACATTGGCATGACTTATGTGAAACATCTGCTTCATATTGACAAGCAACAGTCCGTTGTTTTTGTTGTAAATTAAGACGCTCTTCTCCCAAATTGAATGATTTACTTCTTGAAGAGATTAATGACAATGAAATTGGTAGCTGACCATCAGCTACACTGTCTGGACCTACTGCAATTGATGATTTACTACAATTACACTTTGGGCAAATTATGTCAGTAATTGTATCTTCAGAAACACCTACAATTATATATACATGCATGTATGTATCTACGTTTTTTTTGTTCAAGAAATTTACGTATTAAATTATTAATAAATTAATAAGGCATTAAAATAAGCAAATAAAGTACCAGTATCTTGGCATAGTACAGCTGCAGTAACTCCAATTTCTGAAGATGGAATTACAGCTGAAACACCATAATTACGTACACTTATAACATTCACTGTTTGAGTATTACGATTTTCTTTAAGTATGTAAGAAGTTTGATTAAATATATCCTTGGTGACTTTAATAGGTGTTTGAGTTGCTTTGCTAATTGCACTAGCAGCTTTCTGATAACTGTTTTCTAAAAATTCCCATTTTTTATCCAGCCATTTATCAGTAGACCTTTCTTCATCATAAGTGTTCGTAGAAACTGATTTTGTGTTAGGATGATAATGACCAACTCCTATATTTCTTGTAAGCACACTACACATTACACTAAAGTCCTTTCTGGGAGGAGACATAGAAAGAATCCCATTTTGATTTATTGTTTCTAATTTAGTTGCATTCAAAGAGGACATTGATTTAACATTTGTGTTGTTGAATTTTGAATTATTTTTGCTTTCTTCCTGACTCAATTTTGATAGTAAATTTACATTTTCACGTTTTAAATTATGAAGTTCTAGCTATAAAATAAGACAAATATTAACTTTAATTATATAAACAACACTTTTATCACCTTACCTGTAACTTGGGAATTAACTTTACACGTTCCTCCAATTCTTTAGTTCTTTCTAAGCTAATTGCTACTTGATCTCTAATATTTTGTAAAGCTGCAGGATTAAGACCTACAGAATCAATATTAAACATATCATAATCATGATTTGATGCTGCATCTTCACTAGCTGTTGGCAGAACCATGAATGAACCAGAATTTGATGAAATTGAGGAAATGGATGGTGCATGATAAATTGTATCTGCAACTTTCAAAGTATTCTATTAGTTTTAGTTGGAATGATAATATAAAAATTACACCCACCATTAACAGCAGTAACATCGGGAAGATTTGTAAGCACTTTATGAGAACGATTCCAAGTCTTTTCAAAATCACTAACAACTTCATCTAGTGCATCACTTATTAATTCAGCATTTTTACGAAAAGATTCATCAGTAAACAACTGTCTTTCTTCTCTTATAGGCTAAAATAAACAAACATAAACTTTTTCCTTTAATTGTATAAAATACCTGTACCGTATCACTTTCTAATTTAAACAAATTTTGTGGTTCAATTCCGAGTAAAACCTCCATAGACTGCCTCTGCCTTCTTCTATCCTTACGTCTTTTGAAGGATTCAGTCCTGTGTATTCCTTGAGAAATGTTTTCACAATATCGAACAAAATCCAAATCAATGTGATACCCATAGGGGCAACAGTTACAGTGTTGGTACCAATTTTTAATCTGCCCATCATTTATATCCAATCTTCTCATAGGTTTCGGACTACCATAATGGCAAGACATTTTTATAATGTATTATAAAATACATTTAAGGCTAGAAAGTTCAAAATGTTCATTTTACACACCTACATTTACTTTGTACCATTAAATCAAAAGCAAAGCAACAGGTGTCAACAAACACTAAATTTCATATAAATATTTACTATGTAAATTTTATATATACACCCAACTTTTCAATGACACGAGTGCGCGATTGTGAGATAATAGGAGTAAACATGGAGTAACCAGTAAACCCGGTAATTGAAGATTTTCATAAATCTGTGCATCATACCTAAAAATAGGTTCTGGAACAGCGTTGCCAATCACTTGGAAGTGTGGAATTCTTTAAAACGTGTGGAATTTATGATTGTGGCATATTTAATGAATTCGAAATTGTGTGGATTACGTGGTTTCATCAGACTATTCACTTTATTTTCCTAGTTTATTTTTTTTAACATTTATTAAAGTGTAAACTTGATTTTTAAGATCAGAAGTTTTATTATTTCTTTTTAATTTGAAGTCGGTAATTTTTTTGGTATGTGGAATAAGTATATATTGTGTACCGTGTGCACCACTAGAAGTTGCCTACTGCATAGGCCTACTGAAATATAAGTTGACTTCTGACATGCTTCTGACCATTTAATAAAACTTACTAGAGGCTACACACGAGCTGCACCAAAAGACTACACAATCCTTTGTTAACTATTAGGTGTACAATTTTATGGAACCTTACGGTTTGACAAACGAGAAATGTAGGTAGGGGTAAGTGGGGCCAATAGCAACACTGTTCTATTCTTTATTCAGTGTTATATTTAACTTAAAATTTAGTGAAAAACAGAAAAAGCAATCAAAGATGTGCTTATATGTGTAATTACCTACACATCATTAAACACTTACAAGAATTCTCTTTCCCGAATTTAACTTATGAAACCTAATACAACATGTATTAGCGTTTATGTATATTATATTATGATCCATAAGTATAATGAATACAGTAAAAATAAACAGACGTCTCTAATATTCGAACATACGAGTTTACGAATAACTTTTTACAAAATGTTTATCAAAACCGATCTGTAAAATTGCACCGGGTTAATTATTCGTCAACTTAGAACGCACCTTTCATGATCTTAGTATTAAAGTTTATACAATTGGTACTGCGTGTATCTATGGTATCTATGATATGAATTTAAAAAGCAAAACAAATGGCAAATAGTTAACCGTTTTCAAGCACAACACTTTTGTGTATATTCGTTTGGCGTGAATATTGCTGCTTTGTAATACCAAAAATTAATTTGTTAATAGCTCAGTTACATGGTTTTATTGAATTATCATTCTTGAAGAACGAGTTACATCTGAAAATGTCTGGAATAGGAAGAAAAGGAAAACCTCAATCTGTTAACGTCTATTTAAGAATAAGGTTTGTGCATTTTGGCGTAATGTAATAATTCTTATTCATGAAAAAGTTATATGTTACTTAAATTCATTTTAAAATGAGAGTAACACCTCACTTAATACCCATATTAACTGTACTGTACTAATATTTTAGACCTCCAAATAAACAAGAACGAGATGCTCATTCTCTAACATGTGTGGAAATCCCAAATTCTAAAGAAGTTGTTATAAAGCAACAACATGGAAAGAAATATTGTTTTGAAAAAGTTTTTGGACCGAATTCGAAGCAAGTTGATGTGTATTTAAGTGTTGTTAAGCCCCTAATACCAGAAGTACTTGCTGGTTATAATTGTACAGTTTTTGCTTATGGGCAAACAGGAGCAGGGAAAACATACACAATGGCTGGAGGTTCAGTTAATTCTCCTTCAGCATCGTGGCATAGTGTAAGAATTTCTACCTTAATTGCATATTGATTCCAGTACTTAAAATTTATTAAATAACTATTCTGGACATTTTCTGTGGAAGTGTGTGGAAGATAAAATTTAATTTAAAATTTTTCATATTGGCTTATAGTGAGATTCATTATGATAATTTATAATATACATGTAGGATGAAGAAGCAGGTATTATTCCTAGAGCATTAGCACACCTTTTTGAAGAACTTCGTTTACAACAGCAACAAGAGTACACAGTTCGTGTTTCTTACTTGGAATTGTATAATGAAGATATTTTTGACTTGCTTTCTGATGGAGAAGATAACAGTCGTATACGGTGAGTTTTTTGTAATTGTTACTTTACTAAATTAAAAAGAAAAACAAATTGTTTAATAAAATAAATCTTATTTTTGGATAAATAGAATATATGAAGATCAGCGTCAGAAAGGATCGGTTATAGTTCAAGGAATTGAAGAAGTGACAGTATGCAATAAAAATGAGGTGTATAAAATTTTGGAGAAGGGTCAAGAAAAACGTCGGACAGCTGCAACATTAATGAATGCACAGTCCAGCCGATCACACACAGTATTTTGTATTACCGTTTACGCGCGTGAAACTACACTAGAAGAGGAAGTTGTTAAAATGGGCAAGCTTAATTTAGTTGACTTAGCAGGTAGTGAAAATATTAGTAGATCAGGGGCAGTGGACGTAAGAGCTCGCGAAGCTGGAAGTATTAATCAGTCTCTATTAACTTTGGGGCGTTGTATAAAGGCGCTTGTAGATAGATGTCCTCATGTTCCATACAGAGAATCTAAATTAACAAGAATTTTGCAAGACAGTTTAGGAGGACGTACTAAGACTTCAATTATAGCTACAATTTCTCCAACATTTTCTAATTTGGAAGAGACATTAAGTACTTTGGATTACGCATATAGAGCTCGTAATATTACCAACAGACCAGAAATAAATCAGCGTTTATCGAAACGTGCACTCCTTTCTCAGTACACTGAAGAAATTGAACGTTTAAGAAAAGATCTAAATGCGGCGCATTCCAAAACTGGCATTTTTATCGCTCACGAAAATTACGAACGCTTAATGACCACCAGTGAGTACCAAAAAGAAGAATTAGCAGAAAAAATAGTTATAATACGTGATTTGCAAGACAGAATTCAGTTAGTAGAACAACAAAAGGCTATCAAAGAAAAGGAATGGGAAGACTTGTCCGCTTCTTTCAAAATAGCACAAGATTATCTAGCGCAGTATGCATCTACGGAAAAAGTTTTAAAAGAACAAGCAGAAACTTTGTTGGATGTAGTGGAAAAATCGACAAGTAACGAGTCAAAACTCCACGAAAAAGTCGATTACTTTTATGATGTGACCCAAAAGAACAAAGGAAACACCAATAAAATTATAACGCTTCTTGATGAAAACTTATGTCATATAACAGAACAAATGCAAAAGTTTTACAGAAAATACGACTCTCAGAACAGAGCATTGCTCGAAATTATTAGAAACTCTGAACAATTACTCGAAACGACGATGTTCTCTTTAAATTTAGTAGAAGAACAGAATAATAACTTAGATGATAATATAATACAGTTGCAAGAAGAGCTTGATAAAGAGACAAACGATTTTTACATGGATATTAACAAAACTGTAAGAACATCAAATGACAAAATACAAAAATTTAAATTATCATTTGGAGAACTTATGCAAAATCATCTCAATAATGTTGCCATAATGGAAAGTAGAATAAATGAACAGCAGAACGAATTTAAAGATTTTACTCAAAATTTAACGAAACATGTAAGATCAGTAATGTAATTCTTTAAAATCTTTCGTTAATAGTAACTATTTTTTTGTTTAGATTGAAAACGCAAGACGACGTCTCATAGTGCCCGCAGAAAGTCTCATACAGCAAACTTGTATGTTAAAAAGCCAATTATTTGAGGTAATGGATGATATCAAGAACGGTATGGAAATGGAAAAACAACTTCAAGATATGAAACTTGCTAATATGAATAAGGTGTCCAAGCATTTTGAGAAAATAACACCTCTTATTTGTACCCTTGATTCCGATGTTCAGCAACAGTCTAAAAACCTTAATGTTGCAATAAGTGAAATGCACAATATTATTTGTAAAGAACAGCCAAATGTAATATTCTCTGATGCTGAAAGTAAAGTATTTAATTATTTTAATGGTAATGTGCTTTTTTTGCAGATAACTGCTCAGTTTGAAGGAAACATTAGTAATGTCAAAAATGTTGCTGCTACATCCCACACTATCAAAGACTCTGTAAATGGTGTACTTCAAAATCTCGAAGATAAGAATGCCAATGAGGCTGCACATTTACAAGAGAAAACTGTATTTTTAAAAGATAATTATACAGAAAAAGTGGAAGTATGTATGCATTTTGGTCACAATTTTTTGACTTTCAAGTGATTGATTTATATTTCAGTGTTATAAAAGTTTTATTATATTTTAGGATTTATTAGTTTTGTTAAATAATATCAAACTGAATGAATTTGACATAAAAGAATCCTTGACCAACGTAGATATAAATACAGGTAGAACATTATCAGGATTAAATGAAATGACGGAAATCATTTCAGAGGAGACTGAAACTAATAAAGAACACTTTAAGACATGTACAGAAAATGTAAAAAAAGTGTTGACTGAAGAATTAATTACTGTGGAACCAACAGGTGCTACACCTGTGCGCACACAATTTCAGTATCCTAAAAAATTAGTTTCTACATCTCTTAAAGAACATATGGTGCAAAAATTCGAAGATTATCAAACGAATAAGGTAAATATAAAGAACATAATAATGCTCAGGTGGACTGCCTTACTTTTGATTTCCCCACTATCTACTTTTCCAGAGTTCAAAATTGCCACTAATGGAACATAACAGAGCCAATAATGTGAAATTGGAGACTTCTAATTCAATTGTGAAGTATAACGATTCAAATAACAAGTTTGTTTTTGAGGTACTTTTTATTTAATTGAGTTTTTGTATTATTCTTAATATACATTTATTGTTTTCAGGACAAAGAGAATTTTGAGAAAAATGAATTGTGAAGTAATATTGTCCAAATCTGTTAAAATGCAATATTTTTAATTTGTTTACATGGACGCTACTTCGTGGCTATGCTAAGAAGTAGTTTAGATATAATTAAATCATTTATATTATTTGTAGTTCCACGTTTTTGGTAACTGTCAATAATACAGAATTGTATATTCTATTTAAAAAAGTAATAAAATTTGAAGAAAAAAAATTAAGTGTACTAATAGGGCGAAAAACCGATTGTTTAAATTATTACTTAATAGACTAGTACTACTTTAAAAACTGTAAGTAGACTTGTAATGAATGCATTTTAGTTGTAGTAAATACGTCACACTGGTGCACCATTACAAAGATCTGCCAACATATTACTAAAGTTAAATCCATTACATTACCAAAATACAAGTTAAGTAGTGGTCAAAAACTAGTTATTATGATTCTGTTAAATTATTTACTATTGTATTTCAAAAAAGGAATTGACAATCATAAGTTTCGCTAATATCAAAAATAAATTGATGGTGTGCAGGAAGGTAAAATATACAATAGTACAGTTATAAGCATAGATTTTGTAGTCTTACAGTGCTAAATTTACATAACTCACTCTTCTGTCCTTTTTGTGGTGTATACATCCCTATTTGTATTATATTTCTCCAATTTATATTTACCATCATTTTTCTAATTACTATCTACTGGCAGGTACTTTTAGCAACTGTATCACATTGAATTATGCTACTTAGTGCTACTACAACCTATATTTTGTAAATATACCGTAATTCAAATTTTGTAAATGATGTTTCACATATATTAAAACAGAAATAAATGTACACTGGACATGGACAGTATACTGCTCTGAAGCTATTTATCAATTTAGATTTGATTATTTCAAAATAATACAATAAAGGTATTCGAAATAATTTTAATTGAAAGTACCTACTCATCAAAACTTACTTTTTTTTTCTAAATTTGTAGTCTTGCTTGGAACTTAAACGACTATAATTTATGAATTAGTATACTCGTTGAAATTAATAATAAAATTATCATTGTAACTTCGTTCTAAACGTTACCATTGTAGATATTTTACAAATTTAATAAAATAACAATTTAGGTTTTAGGTAATAATGGGTAACAGCATAAAAAGGTAATAGCAATAAGATTATTTAAAGTAACTTTGTTTTTTTATTATTATAAATTTATGCTAATTGTTCTACAAGTTATAGAGAATTTGCAGTACAGAAAATGTAGATAATGTGCTACATTTTTATCATTTATTGAGTTAACAAAAATGAAATTGCATTTTATTCATTGCACGAGTATAAAATATGTACTTTCAAGCTTCAAACGAAGATCAAAAAAACTAAATTCTCTCGGACAGTCTTACGAAAAATGCAATTGTCAAAAAATATGCCACAGATAGTGCTGATGCAGTTACATCACATTAACAGCTTGTCTGAATGTTAGGGCAGAGGCTACTTTAGATATCTTCGTTAAAAAGGTAGTACTACTGAAGCAATTTCAGCACATGCAACCTCCCTCTGAATCTTGTTGGTCATTTTGAAGTTGTGGTTGAGTTTGTAGGTCAACAGCTTTTTCATATTAAGGAGTTGTAAATTAATAAATGAAAAACAAAAACTAGAATCGTTACATTAACATGCATTATTGAAGCGACATTTAGGCGAACCAGAAGAAATTTAGCTAATCTAATTTTATATGTTACCAGTCTATGTGAGAAATACCTTGAAAATTAAACAAGAAATTGACTTAAATATATAAATTAGTTTCCATCCATACATTTATTGAAAAAAAAATAGTTGAATACAACAGTAATTATTAAAAATAAAATTATTTTTTTCTTGTTAATGGCAAAAACGTAATAAAATTAGCAACCTATTTTTTGTATGAGAAAGAAATACTAATGACAATAAATAAAAATTTGCACCTTAAATCTGCTAGAACCTTATAATACCTAACTCGAATATTATTTATTTATTGCAACCTAATAAGTTCAACGTCCATGTTTTAGTGGTCCCCAGTTCTTAATATAATTTAAGCATGCAAGGAATGAGAATTGCACTAAAGAAGAAAGGCAAATAAATTAAAATACGTTGAACAGAACACGCTGTCTAAATAATACAAAATATTATAAAAAGGCACTTTTGACACAAATTAAATAGAAATAATTAGAAACAAATACTGCACAATTTACAACAAAAAGAAGATAAATAAAGTTTATGTACAATACATACAAAAAAGAGCGTCACAAAATTTTAGAGTCAACAATTTTAATTAACATGAACATCCACCATCCGGATCTTTATTTTCACTTGGTGTATCCTTTAACACAACTTCTTGCACTAAGAAACAATTAAGGAAAATAAAAAAACAAAAACAAAAAAAGCTATTTTCATGCAAATTAAATAACTTTTCATTAATAATGAAAATAAAAGGATACTGTCTTCTGGTGGTTTATTTTCTGTTGAATCCATTCCAGGTAATGCAGCAGCAACACGCCTAAATAACTTTAAACAAATAAATATAGATAAAAAAAATATTTTTGTAATTTCATCATTGTTAAGAACTACCTGTTTAACATTATAACCAGCTTTTGCACTAGTTTCTATAAACATAACATTAAGTTCTTTAGCCTTTCGTTCTCCTTCTTCAGTACTAACTTGTCTTTTATCTGAAAGATCTGTTTTATTGCCCACAAGCATAATTATCACATCACTACCTCTTTCTGTTCTAACATCATCTATCCATTTGGATGTTTGATGAAAAGAGTTAGCATCTGCCAATATAAAAATACATTAGTTAATAAAATAACTTAAAATTTTAAACTTACTAGTGATATCATAAACTACTACTGCTACTGTAGAGTCTCTAATGTAAGAGGGTATAAGAGATCTAAACCTTTCTTGGCCTGCTGTATCCCATAACTGTAATCGCACAGTTCTATCTTCTAAATACATTGTTTTTGATAAGAAGTCAATACCTATTGTTGCCTAAAAACTTATATATGTTACACATTTTTTATTTTGCTATTTTTGAATAATTTATATTATTATACTCATACCTGATAAGTATTATCAAAACTGTCATACATAAATCTGGTTATTAGGGATGTCTTTCCCACTGAAAATAACAAAAACAGATATGAGAATTTGAATTTTTTCCAAAAAACTTGCATCAGATGTAACATTAACTCAAGATAATGGAAATATTAGATGTTTGCTATTATGACATAAACTTATTGCATATCTAAGGAAACATAAACAAAAAAAGGTAATTTTCTAAACTGTGAATAATATTCTACAATTAGGGAGAAAAAAGTAGAAAATAAAGTTGCTTAGGCAATCGTTTTATTGATTTATAGACTACGCCTGACGTTTATTAGTCACTTGTCGAATGTTTCTAAATGATAATATACATACCGCTTTGTTCTCCTAGGAAAACAAGCTTGAATTTTCTTAATGGATTTCCAAAATCCCCTGACGTCGACATTATAAAGGTAACAAACGCGTTCTATTATAATGCCCTAATATTAAACAACACCTTCGATCATTAAATTTCAGAATTGACACAAGGATAATTAAGCCACGACAGCTATAAAAATGCGCATGCTTCGAAAAATTGCCTGTCACTATGTTATCCCATTTCTTATCAATGATCTTATTCTAACACCATAGTTTTCTGTGCTCCATAGATATGTATGTCCATAGACATCTAACTCATTTCTTCGAAAACTCGTCTCATTTTTGTTTCTGTTACAAAATAGTCACTAACAATATTTTATACAATCTTTTTGAAGTGAAACTTCTTTACGCACGGTAGGGTAAGTTCGTTTCATGCGAGTTGCTATGTAAGGAAATTATGCTACGGATAATGTCCCCCCTCTATTCGGTCACGTAGTCGAGTTCGTAGTGGGGATCGCTTGAGCCGTGAGCGCGCTTCAATGCAACGTTCGTTACAGGCAACTCCGGCATATATAGTGTAGCCCTAACAAAATGTATGAACGTTTTTGTATATGTTTGTGTATGTGTGCCTACACTCTACAGTATGTTTGTGTGCTTGAAGAAGTTTCACTTCAGTAGCGTATAATTACACGTTGTATTTTTTTTATTGAGTATTAATTGAAAAATAGTAAAATTGAAAGGAAGGAATTATAATCTAACTTATTGAATTGCAATTTTATCGAAATAAATGTTTTAAAATAAAAAATAATAAATATGTTATTATGATTTATTATGAATTAAAACAACCTCCGAGAGGTTCAGTTCACAAGTTCACCATAAGCATAGTGATCCAGAAGAAAAAGAGATCATTTATCTATTACAAAAGTAACACAACTCTATGGTAACACAAGGCACAACTCCCTCAAATAATATGTTCGTTCAGTTCATGTTCCGATCATCCGATTATCTTATGTTCTTGTTCTAATATGTGTGACGTATGCGTCATCTGCCTTAACATCGTTTTGTCGGTTTTGTCTTTACTGTTTACGCCTTAATTAATTGCATTATTTTCGAGTTATGCGGAATAAATGCTCAAGTTTCTAGTCTTCAGTATAAAAGCATTGATAAAAGTTTTGGACGGAAAGAAAATCTTATTGAGGTTTTATAGTACTTAATTTAACTATACATAATTTATGAAACATTTGGGTTGAAGATTAATGGTTTGTATATGAGTACGTAAATAACGCAATCCTATAAAGTGACTAATGACTAAAACGGAATCACGATTATTATAAGTAATCTTTATAAAATGGGAAGTTAATTTTTCGTTAGTCATTTACACAAGTAAGTTGATTTATGTAGTAAATTGTCCATTTTTCATTTGTTAACATTGAAGTAGTTTTATTAGATGCATATATATATAGATAACAGAAAAAAATGCTATTTGATGTTTTTGTTATTATCTGCAGTTTTACTAAGCAAATCAAAATTGTGTTGTTATTAGAGAAAATAGTGTATTGTTTATAATAATGTTTTGCTTTACTATCACTTCAATAGAAATGTTTGTATAAATATACGTTATCTAACATTTGTAATCCAAATATATTTATGAAAAGCATTGCTATATTATTTCTTTCTTGTTAAATGCTGTAAGTTAAGGTCCACTAATCTCATTTTTTTTTTTAGGATTGTTCACATAAAATTTAGGATATGGAAGATGCAAGTGGAAGAAGACAAGCTACCAGGTAATTTATTATTTTTCTATTGTATTTTGTTTTTGTCTGAGCTTTATTTTCTAAAATATATTTTGTGTAGGGTATTTAAAAAGAGTTCACCAAATGGAAAAGTAAGTATAAAAGGTTTTTATAGTATTATAATCTTAAACCTATGTTTATTATTTAGATAACAGTATATCTTGGAAAAAGAGATTTTGTTGATCACATTACACATGTCGATCCAATAGGTAAGGTATACAATAGATTAACATTTAAAAATAATTCAACATTGCTTTTTTAGATGGTGTTGTATTAATCGATCCTGATTATGTTAAAGATCGTAAGGTTTTTGGGCATGTTCTTGCTGCATTTAGGTATGGAAGAGAAGACTTGGATGTTTTGGGTTTAACTTTTAGAAAAGACTTGTATTTAGCATCTGAACAGATATATCCTCAAGAAGCTATTGTTAGTAAACGACCTTTAACAAGATTACAGGTGAGTAATGGATAAATAGTGTTCTAAGTATTTTGTTCCTGTCAGTGTCATAAAATAGTCCAGTACAATTAGCATATAAGTTTTATTTTAACTGATTATATTTGCATTATTTAATTAATAACAACATGTAAAATTATTTTTATAAGGAGAGATTAATTAAAAAACTGGGCCCAAATGCATATCCCTTCTATTTTGAACTTCCACCCCACTGCCCAGCTTCTGTTACTCTGCAACCAGCACCTGGAGATAATGGAAAACCTTGTGGTGTAGATTATGAACTTAAAGCATTTGTTGGAGAATCACAAGATGATAAACCACATAAAAGAAATTCTGTCAGGTAATAAAAAACAAATTAGTAGTAAATCATTTTTCACAAAAGATGTTTTTGTAGATTAGCTATTAGAAAGATAATGTATGCTCCTAGTAAGCAAGGAGAACAACCGTCCATTGAAGTAAGTAAAGAATTTATGATGAGTCCTAATAAATTGCATTTGGAAGCATCTCTTGATAAAGAATTATATCACCATGGTGAGAGTATTGCAGTTAATGTGCATATAGCTAACAACTCAAATAGATCCGTTAAGAAGATCAAAGTGTCAGTAAGACAATTTGCTGACATTTGCCTTTTTTCTACAGCACAGTATAAATGTACAGTTGCTGAAATTGACAGCGAGTAAGTTAGAGTTACAAAATATTTATTTATTTAATCATCACATAAATAATGTATTTATACATTTACAGAGAGGGATGCCCTGTTGGACCTGGATTCACTTTAAGTAAAGTTTATACTTTGACTCCTCTTTTAGCAAATAATAAGCATAAATGGGGATTAGCTCTTGACGGTCAACTTAAACATGAAGATACAAATTTAGCTTCAAGCACCTTGTAAGATTTTAGTTCACAACAATGAAATATTTCTTTTTCTCTTTTTCCCCTTTTTTAGAGTTGCAGATCCTACACAGCGTGAAAACCTGGGAATAATTGTGCAGTACAAAGTCAAAGTTAAACTTGGCTTAGGTCCTTTGGGAGGGTAAGTTAAGCTTTTGCAAATATTCATTATTTTTATTAATATTAGCTAAAAAAGGTAAATAATTAATTTAATTATAAAGTTGTACAAATTATAGGTGTCAGGCAGGGAGTGTTCTTTTAAAAAAATCTAAAATCCCTTCAGATTATCTGAGAACACCAATTGTGTACTTTACAGTAACTTTATATCCAGTGGCCTGGACTTGACCTTAGTAATCATTTGAAACCGTTCATTATTCCATTCTTATTTGTAAATTCGTTAGGTTATGTACTCTGAGAAAAATATTGTTATTCAGATCCTTTTGTGGTATCATATGGTCTCCCTTAAGGATCACACTTAATAAAACAAGAAACAAAATGTTTAATTTATTTTTCAGAGATTTGGTGGCAGAGTTACCATTTATATTAATGCATCCCAAACCAGAAGAGGAATCATCAGTATTGAATGCATCTCCAACTTCCCAGGGAAATAACGAGGATGGAAATGTTCCAGTGGACACTAATCTTATACAGTTGGACACGTAAGATCACATTTTTATTAAATTTTAATTTTCAAAACTGATTCAAAAAAATGGATCAAAATTGTTTGAGTAAATTGTAAAATAAATTACAAAACATTTTAATGTATATCGCTGCCTATATACGAAATCCGTCATTCCCAAATACGGCCAGGCCCTTACAAAACCGTACTGTCTGTAATACGGTTAACGAATGTTCTGGTGTCAATATATTGCATTTGGTTTTAGGGCATTTAAAATTTGGCTGTACTGTGAAAGGGAGAATAAAAAAAGATGTGACTAATCACTGCATTACAATCTGCTTAAATCGGTAGTTAGCCACTCTAAAGAATAGTACTGTTCTGCAGAGCTCTTAGTTGTATTCGGGAATGACGAATCTTCGAGATTGGCTGCGGTATATGTATTATATAAAAAAGTTTGTCTTTTGAATACTAAAACAGTCGTGAAAAGCAAAAATTAACTTTCTTCGTGATAAGATCTTGGTTCATTACAAATAGCGTTTTTTCATTTAGAGAAGGGGATAATCCAGATCATGAAGATGATATAATATTTGAAGATTTTGCTAGATTAAGACTTAAAGGGGGAGAAACAGAGGCTTGAAAATGTTGCCCTTTTAAATATATGATTACAACATTGTACGTCTGTGTATGCATAGTACTGTTAGGTCTCATCCTAATGTTGTGCCCTAGTCATTGTCACAGGCCGAAGTGCAACACTTGTGTGTCTTTAAACAATATATTAATTTCAGTTTTACCTAATGTGTGTACATATATTTTAAATGTGCATTACTGAATTATTAATTTACTGTATTTATTTATCAATCCCATAAATTTATTATGTCTTCGTGATATTTAACTAATATTACAGTTGACAAATAGTCCAAAAGCCATGCTATTTATCAGTAAAACTTTTTTTTTATTTAAATTTGTTTGTTTTAGTACACTCTAATAATATTTAAAAATTTTCAATACACAATATGTTTGTCTTGGTAGCCTTTTTTATTTATTTTTTACAAAAAAAAATCTTAAAAATAATTGCTGAAAAAAATGTTTTTAATTTTTTTGAAAAACACAACGGTTTGGTATATATGAAAAGTATTTAATTCTAGATCAATTTGAGAAATTGTAGTACTCTAGTCTTAAACATAATAATGTCAATGATTATCCGTTTGATAATAAATATATAAAACAATTCAATGTTTGCACATTTGAAGTATTTCGTTAATTTACATGTTTTAATCATTTCCACACATTTCATTAACAAATATTGGTGTAGTAATAGTGTTACGTGTACCATATGCTTTAGTGAAATTATATCTTGCACAAATTTTATTCATTTATATGTACATGCTAATAAGTATTAATTGATGCATTTTTGGTGGTTTTAAAATGAAAAGAAATAATTTTTTATCGTATCAACAGTAATTTAAACTTATGATCTATATAAATGTTGGCAACTTTAAATGTCGTCCTTTACCTGTTTTATTGAACTCTGAAAGAGTTTTTAATGTAGTGCGATTGAAATTTATATGTTGTTTATATTATGTATTAACATTAATTGTGAAAAAAAAAATAATTGCAGTGTAAACATATTACACCTATATTAGAGATATACGAATGGAGCACGCGACTTATAAATTGAACATTGACATATGTAATACATAGGTTGATGTATAAGTGACTACATTAAATCTTTATTAGTAAGAAAAAGAGAATGGATTGGTTTACTGTAACCTTGTTGAATCTCCGCAGCCATTTGCACTATATAATATAGCATTGAAAGACAGATTTTTAGAAATTTTTTTCGTTTGTTCTTTTGATGCTGACATTGCTTTTTCAGTTCTGTCGCGTGATATATTCCTATGTCTCTGCATTGCAACAATATTTTAGAAACTTATTTAGTGAAACTCCTTAATTGAAAGATTTGTTAAATGTACAGTCTATAAAATAACGCTTATTATTATAAACTTAGTAAGTCATTCCCAGTCTCGCTGGAAGCCAAACAGTATATCATATATTGAACAAAGTGTTATATAATTAAATAGCAGTTATTTTTTTACTGGCCTATTGTTAATCTCTGTTGTTATATTTTTGGTTGATAATGTCTACCACCAAAGTTCATGCTACTTTTCAGGTGTATTCTCTTGTAGTACATTTATTAAATAATACATATAAGACTTGCATGTATATCTAAGGGCTGTAAGAACAATATTTACTTACTTTACACAGCTTCAGAAATGATTACATGAAAAACATTTAGGTTGACACCTACAATTTTTTCACCTTTCCTGTTAACTCAGCTTAAACACTTAGTCATTTCTGAAAAAGTGTAATTTAATACGTGTTTAATGTTTGAAGTCCAAGTATACAACGTTTCAAAAAATATTATTGATGGAAAATTTTTCAAATCTAAATGTTGCAATTAACATCTTCTAAGATTGATCAAAAATTTTAAAAAAGTGTATGCATGTGATAATTATTTTTACTTTCTAAATTTTCGGATATTATACGTTAGTGGTTTTTACACATTTACCTCCCGTTTAATATATTTCTGGTTCACTTGTTTTAAAAAATTTAAAGAAAAGGTTTTGTTTTAGCGTTATTTAAGTTTGTGAGTAAACTAGAAGTGAACTATTGTGAAATATTCAGTATTGTAAAAATCAAATCGAAAAAAGTTACAGTGAAGTGTTTGGGATATTGTAAAATAATATTTTCTAATTCCCTTTTTTTCGTAAAAAGAAGGTAACAGATAGTAGTTAAATGAAACGGATATTAAAAGAATGTGAATCAGTACTGCATTTTTCGTTAATGATTAAGTAACGGGTACTTCAACTAAATTTTATTATTTTAAAACACATTGGTGTGATGGAGTTTGGAAAATTCAATTAGAAAATTGTTAGCGGTAAGACAAATAGGGCACATGAAGGTTCTTTTCCTTTAATTTTAATCATTACACTTTTTGTGGAAAGTAAAGTTTTATTGTACTTTTCAAAACAATTTTAGCTTTTATTTATGTTTGCTTAAAGAAAAGGTCAATAGAAGTAGGAAAAACCCAAGGATAACACAAAAAAGTATGTCAATTTCATCTTAGTAACAGCGAAGTGTTAAATATAGTTTATAAAAAAGATAGAAATAAAATAAAAAGCAGTTAAGTCAACATGCATTTTTCAGTGTTCTTTCATAAATATAAAATTCTTTTTGCTAATTTCGTAATCAGTAACGTTCTTTTTTTTCATTATTACACCTAATTCTATGTACCACAATTCGTAGGATTTTTGTCTGTATTACGTATTAAATTTTATTAGAAATTGTAAATGTCAATTTTAAAAATCAAAGCGATGAATTTTAAAGTGAGACTGAAAACATATTTTTGTATTTTTATGTAATAATAAAAATTAACGGTAAATCTGGTTGAACACTGTTAACGATGCTTTTCATTTAGAAGATGATGTTCTATGTGATAATATTCATTTAACAGTTTGAAGTCAAGGCCTCAAAACATGTACACTTATAAAACAATAAAAAAGTCTACGTATTTTTTACGTGTTTCATTTATTCATAATAATTCTCGGTTCATCAGAACTTATCAACTCCTTATCACAACCATGATTTGCCCCCTCCCAGTTACGTTCTAATTTCTGAATTACAGCCCCATAAAAATGATATCTCATCGTTTAAATATTCCTGTATGTAGGTAGTCATTTTAACACAATTTTTAAATAAGGTATAGCTTAAAAAAATTAAAATAATTGGTTTAGAGGGTAAATAATTGCGATTTTTTATTTATAATTTTTATGTTTTTCGTAAAAAAATCTNCATGCACCTTCACATTTTGCGCGTCAAGATATTAGATCTAGTTAAAATTTTCAAATTTAAAATTGAATTACATTGAAAATTAAATCAAACCCAGATATTATTTAATCCGATCCGTAGTCGCTTTAAAAATTCTTAAGTACAAAAAATTCATTTGCAAGTTTTTTAAAGACTGTAGGTATAACTATTCATTTTACATAATAAATGTGGAATGAGAATTAAATTTTTAAAGAATTTTTTTATAATATGTTGCTGTAACAGCCTTGTAGTTCCAACTGATCAAAAACAAATTGATCATTGTACATTTAAAAAATTTTGAGAATGAAAACGAAGTTGCTGTGTTGGTTTTGAAAATAATTATTGTAGGGCATTTGTTATAAATAAACTACTGACTTCTATTTCTTGACGATTTCCAAATTTTTTCTGCTGTTTGTAGTATTATGTTACAAAATAGAAATTATATGTATACATATGTTTATCGGTAGGAGATCTAATTTTAAATATTATAGTTTTGAAAAGTACTTATATGCAAACTGATTGATATTAATGTTTATTTGGTTGCATATGCTGTTCTTTGCTGCATTACTCATTTTGAAATTAGTGGTATTATTTTTTCCCTTTGTAGATCTATTATCTATGATTTTTTCTTTCATAAATTATTTATACTATTGTTTTAAAGTATTTCAGTATATGTGATGTATGTTCAGTGTTGTCCATAGGTGTGTGGTGTTGTCAACGCATACGATTAGTAAATAATACTGCCCAATCAATACCTACTCATTCAACATGATTAATAAAACCATTTTGTATTAGCAAACATAAATCCTATAAGAAGCCTCGTAGTACTATTTAACATTCAATTGACATTTATGGAACGTGTTGATTATATATGTGTAACAAAGCCTCTAGAAAGCTTAATTTTGTTTTATGTAAATCAATAATTTTTAAAAAATATAAAAATCATATTAATTGGTAATTTTTTACATTAGTTGACATTCGAGTTGAGACATGAAGTTTAGCCATGTAGGTAGAATGACCAAGTAGTGTGGTAGTATTTATTAGAATTTTGTTTATTATTTGTTTAAAAATCAATGTGACTGAGATACAGGCTGTTAAAGTATTGTTAATCGAAGGAAATTTCGATAGGTACGGCCCTGACTTCAGCCTTCCGTCAGCTGTTTCCTCCAAACATTGTTTATTCTAAAACATATCTCGTAACATCATTCCAATATATCAGCCCGCCTTTGGCGGGCAAGGACATTGTAAAAACTCCAGTCTATCATAATTCTACCTAACTAAACGATGACATCATCAATGCATATTTGGCGAGAACAGCTGATGAAGGGCTGCAGCCAGGGCCGTATCAACCGGAATTTCCTCCGATTAAGAAAACTTTAGGAGCCTTATCTCCAGCTACATAGATTTCCGCATGGAATTAATACTACCACACGATTCTACTTGGTGAGTACTACTTACCTGACTTAACTTCATCACTCAACTCGTCTGTCAACTAATGTAAAAAATGGCCTATTAATATTATACCAAAATTACGTCAAATCTATTATGGTTTATGCTGATATTATACGACGTCCTTTTCTACGAAAGCGTAGAAGGACCAAACAATCTTTTTTGGAATTTCGACTTTGAACTTGAAATGTTGACTTGCAACTCGAAACTTCGACTTTATCTCGAAATTTCGTCTTACAACTCAAAATTTCAAATTACAACTCGAAATTTCAACTTGTAACTCCTAAGTGCTTATTAATTCACAACCTAATTCAATCCTAACCTAAGCTAAGGTAATATGAAGAAAGGACAAGAGCATATATAATAGATATACAAATGGGACAAGAATACTACAATATAACACTCATTTCGTTCGTGTTGTCATTACCTTCTGTAACCTTATGATTACAACCGTTCGGATGAAAGCTTCAATAACGGATCATAACTTTAAGGGTAGGTAAAGATAACACGAACGAAGTGAGTGTTGTTGCAGTCGTATACATTTTTTGTTAACACAATTGAACCAAACCTAACCTGTTCATATTTTATAGGAACATTATAAAAATTGGATGCCAAGTTAATGGAGCATTTTGTCTCGTCAATCAACTTTTCGCTTTTGGATGTAGTGCTAGCTGAAGGAAACGTAAAAGCTTTTACCCTGCGCAGTGTGTTGTTGCTAAAGAAATGATTTATCATAATGAATTGGTAAGTTACAACATTGATGAATTGTAAAAATTTCATTAAATTACTCCAGAAATCTCAACTTATGTATGTAACTTGTCTCAGTACATAACAGTCTGCTGTTGCTATTAAAAATGAAACTCAGCAAGAACAATTCTTCACCATACAGGATTTGTTTTTCCTGCCCTATTGGCGTAGTAAATGGGGGGTGGGGGGGCAGGCGGGCTAAGTCCATCCTAGACTAACAGTTGTTCAAGTACAAATAATAAGATAAATCTACAATAATTTATATATATTCTTTTTTGTGAAATTTGTCCAGAAAGTCGTGTCAGTCACCTCTGTTATTATGAACAGTTTTCAAATTATTCCGCCACTCAGTGTGATTCGTCGAACTATTTCCTCTTTTAAAATAGTGTAAAGTGTGTGTTGCGCAAGAACTTAATTAATTTAACCAGAGAATGGACAGCAGTATTTACACATAGATCTATCAGGATTTATGTTGTTTCTTACACGAGTTCACAAAATAAAGATTTTTTTGATGGAATAAATTATTATATCAATTAAATGTAACTTCTGAATGTAAATATAAAAATAGACATTTTCTAACGTAAAATTTTCCAAATGTTCATAATTTATTATTGTTTTCATTCATTTATAATATATATGTATATATATTTTATCATACATTTAGTAGAGAAATACGATGACACGATACAACTTTTTTTACTTCAAATTTCAAGTTGGTATCATTCAACGAACAAAATTTCACCCTTAAAATTTTATGAAAAAACCTTGTAAACTATTGTCATCATACTCTTTTAGTTATTGGAAAGCAATCCGTTACACTATGTATAAGTGGTAGAGTTGAAAATTTTGCCCTCTAGAAAAAAATCGTTGCTACGCCTATGTCCTGCTCTGATTTTAAACTTTTGCTCATCTTCCGAATGTGTTTTTTACACGTTTTGCGGTCTCCCTTAACGTATGCTCTTCTAGAGAGATGGAAAACTAGTTTTCCTACGGCTCCTATCCGTTGAAATACTTTTAAGATTGTTTAATTTGCTTTTTTTTAATGAGTGTGTTAGTCGGTGATATGAAACGTTTAGAAATTTAACAACAATAAAAAAAACATGTAAATGTTTCAGGAATAGAATTTATTGGAATTCAGTTTAGTAAATTCTATTTCTGGAACATTTAAGGGAGTGTGAAATAATAAAAATTTCGAAGAATAAAAACATTTTTTGAATTATGAAATAGCAAATAGATAAATGTATATCATTTCTCTTTTCCAGAATAATTTTTTAAAATAATATTTGATAACAGTAAATAAAAGCACATTTAAATGTTTTCGACAAAGAATTTATTAAATGTTAATTATTTTAAAAAATTAGTCTGAAAGAAACAAATTTATACGTATTTACACAATTCAAAAAATAACTTACAGAAAAAAAAAATAAATAATTAACAATGATTTTCAGCTAAGTTTAAAGGTGCTTAAAATGCTATCAAATGTTATTAAAAAACAAAATGCAAAATTGGTAATCTACTTCATTTAAAACGCATTATTAGTTTTCGTGCAAATATTACCGATACAGTTAAGACACCCTGGGGTGAGTTTACTTGAACAATACGGACGCGATTTGAAACACCACACAAATACCGAGAGGCAAAACTGCGAATTTTTCTTTCCGAATTCTCTTTTTTATATTTTTTGCGCCTTTCTCTCGAAATCTGAGGGGTCAAGCTGTATAGTTTGTATATATTATTTTAATATATTTTTTTAGCAATCACCTGTAAAATATTATAGATTATAAGTGTTTATTTTTTTTTTGTCTTTATCTACAGCTTGGCTAACATATAAGAGAGATTGGGTTGTTAATTTTGACCCTAGCGATGACGACATGGGATGTCTGACCTGATACCCTTTCTCAATTTGGTTTGCATTCCATTCGTGTAAACTATGGAACGCTACATTCTTCAGTTAGTTCAGGTAATAATGCATAGTTAAATTAATATTAATTACACTTTATTAATCTGGTGTCAATTTGGTTAACAAAAGACGTCATAAAACATAATGCATAGGATAACGAGCATATGTTACTTCTTTGCATAATACCGTTAGATTGTCCATTATTTAGTTTGGGTTGTAGGTAATTGCGAATTGTTTATAATGTCATTATGTTTTGCTGATTTTGCTATAAAACTTCATAGAGAACATCGATTTACACATCCAACCCCCAATTTAAAAACGGTTTTATTTCTTTATTATTAATAATTAAACTCTTGGTTTTAAAAGCCGAGTGTAATATGTAATAAAGGAATTGCTAATGCAACCCGACGCTTACAATTCTTTGAAGTGAAGTGGGTTGTCTATGTAAGTTTTTATAGTAGTTTCGATAATTTTTGCTTTGTTGGTCCTGTTCTTTTTCATTTATCCGTGTATTTGCGTTGTCAAAGTATGAAATTCGAACAAATTTAACATTTTTCTGATAATGTGAAGTTTGAGATCCTTAATCAGATGAGTTGTTTGACGATAATTAGTAATGTTTATTTAGAATTTATGTAAGAAATCTCCTGGTTTGATTATGTATAAATTAAACCATATAAAACACATTAATTTGCTAAAAAAGATGAAATTGTAACCACAGTAAAATACATTATTTTGTGTACTTATTAATCAATTAAGTTACGGGTCAAGCCCTAATAATACATAAAAAATAGAGAAATAAAAGTAATGTATAGATATTATTCACAAACAGTTTAATCAATTATCCAAACTTAGTATCAGAAAGATGCGTATAGTTAAAAATGCCGACATAAAAGTGTTAGTTTTATTTGACAGAATTGTGATGAGCGTATAAAAATGCAATACAGTAATAATAGTAACGGAGATGGACTTTGTTAATAATGTCTTATTTCAGCTTTCAACTGTTAATTTAGGCATGCTATTTATTGCAACTAATTTCATTAAAAGAAACACAGTTGTTATTTTAATAAGAGTTAATTAAAAAATATATAAAGTGTATTACTGTCATTATAATTGTTTTGCTTCCCAAAACATAGCAGTATCTTCAAAGAATTGTAAAGTCATATACACTATATTTATTTGTTATTATTAATGGAGAAAAGGTTTAGAATTACTTTAATATTATATTGTATACGTTTTTTAGTAGGAAAGCTATATCAATAATATCTGGAAACATTCATATTTTATTTTACAGGAACATAAAAACTCCAGATTCCGTATGTTACAAAACATTGGTTGTATCAGTGCCCTTGCACTCTGCAACGTGGTAATACCCGAAGTTTGAGGAAGGCGTGAAAGTGCCTTTTACCGTTGGGAACGAAGAAAGTGTGCTGTAGCAGAAGGAAAGATTTATGACAATGAACTGGTAAGTAACAGTATTGATTAAAAATAGTAAACGAAGTCTTACAAACATTAATTTCCTAGAATTCATAAGGCCTGTTAGGCGTTTAAAGCTTCAGTAGGTTTTGCTGATTTTGCCACAAAAATTTTTAAAGAACATCAATTTGCACTTCCAACCCCCAATTTAAAAACGTTTTTATTTCTTGATTATTAATATTTTAAATCCTGATTTCGAAAGCCGAATCATTAATAAGTAAAAGAAGTCAGAACTGCTACTGCAGCCTGACGTTCAGAATACTTTGCAATGAAGTGGGTTGCCTATATCGAGGACCAACAGTCACCAGCCGTATTTAAAATAATTTGTATTTTAAATTGAAACCTTCCTGCGAAATTAAATGAGTGCGCTGTAGTCTAGATCTAGATAAAGATAGAAATGTTACAGTGCGAGTCGAAATTCGTAAGCAACTAAATTATTGGATTTTAATAAAATAATCTAAATTTTTTTGGTACAAAAGCAGTCTATGAAAATGATTATGCTTTCACAACACTAACACTGTTATTGTAAATGAATTTTTATCACTTTGTTTTGTACATTTCTCTAATATGGGCATTTTTACCTTGTGTCCTGTACATTACAATTTTTTATAGGATTTCTGATAGAGAAAGACGATTATAGTTAAATATGCATACAAAAAACGGATAGCTTTATTTAGGAAAATTGTGATTAGAGTATCAAAATGTAATAAAGCAAAATGTTCAAGGAGATAGATGCTTCTTAAATCTTATACAGTAATTACCTAGTTTCTAAATTTGATTCGTTTATGTTTAAAAAATTTAATTAGTTGATTATTCGTTCGAATTTCGAATATCACAGAATTGCGATAAGCGCACAAGTCAACATTATCGTGAAGTTATATAAGTTTTTATAATAGTTTAGATTATTTTTGTTTTGTTGGTCGTGTTAATCTGTTAATCATAATGTATAGTTTATGATCCATAACCTAGATAAATCGACGATAATAAGTAAAGTTTATTTAACTAAGGAATTTCATTCAATTGAAGCACAGAAATAAAATATGTTAACTCGCTAAAAGTGATTAACTTGTAACCACAGTAAAATACATTATTTTGTGTACTTACTAATCAATTAAGTTACGGGTCAAGCCCCAACAATACATAAAAAATAGAGAAATAAAAGTAATGTATAGATATTATTCACAAACAGTTTAATCAATTATCCAAACTTAATATCAGAAAGATGCGTATAGTTAGTTAAAAATGCCGACATAAAAGTGTTATTTGATAGAATTGTGATGAACGTATAAAAATGTAATAAAATAATAATAGTAACGGAGATAGATACTTCTTTATTATAAATAGGAATTGATTAAGAAGTAATGTACCTGTTTTTTTTTTGGTAGCATATGGTAACAACGCAATGAATTTTTAATTTTTTGTCCAAACATTAAGAAATTTGTAACAGTTGTTTATTTCGTAGGCATGTGAAGTCTAAAATTTATTTCTACCTTTTCAAAAAGTATTGTATTTTTAATAATGTCCGTGTTTTTAAATCGCATGCCAAGGAAAAAAAATGAAGTTTCAGTTATAAAACCCTTGTAAAAAAAATCATGCACCTTCTTTGGCACAAGAAAAGAAAAACTGGCTGTGATTTTGAATTATCTCAAATGAAAATTACAATTTCCCTCCAGTATGTCAACGAAAGATGCTTGTGAATTTATTCACAACGGTTGTTTTATAACTAAAACTTCTTACGTTCCTGTATAAGATGAATAATACATTCTAAGTGTTTTTTTTTCTTTTGTGATATGAGAAATAGTCTATATCATCTACTTATGTCATCTTTTGGTTTTCTTTAAACAACAGAATGCAATTAATTGACTGCATTATGTATATGTATACAAAGTACAGATTATATCATCTTTTGGTACAAAATAACTGCAAATTGTAGTTAGTTAGTTGCCTAATAACTTTATAAAAGCTTAAAATTCTGAATAATTATTATACATCAAGGTTATTAATAATTCGGACATAGGAGAATTAAACCACAGAAACTGTTTGTTAATATTACTATATATAATTACTAGAAAAACTTTAATTGGGTGCAATTTTTTTAAAAATAACAATAAGATAGTTCTAAAATGTTATACTGCAATTAGCTAGTTTCTTAATTTCATT